ATCCTTTCACAAACTGAACTAACAGATGCTGAGGGACTGATGATATTCTGACATCATGACAGACACCAATAATTTGAATTTTCAATTTCTGTCTGTAAAGAGAAACGAATACTTCATCTCAAATTCATTAGGAAGAACAGGATCAAATAAATAAACATGAAGTCTCTGCAGAAACAGCCAATGTTTTCCAGATCACAGATGGAAGCGTAATGCATGGAGATTTGCAGAGAGCCATGGTCTACAGATTAGTTAGAACTGGAAAGCTCTGAAGATCAGGGGTGCTTTTCTAAATATAATTTTCTTTTTTCTATAATTTTACCAATTATGTAGTAACAGTACAGGGCTACGTCAAAAATAAGAGCAAAACCAAAAAGCTTAAGCCTAACTGGAATTTTGCCGGAACAGACAGCCAAGAGAGAATCAATTCCTATAGGTGAAGTACATTATCTGGAGGATGACACTAAAACTATAACAAACAAAGCAGATGGCATATGCTTTTATTACATGTTCTTTGTAAAAGCTTTTTTCCCCTGACTTTATACTTCTATTCAGTTTCAAAATTAACCAATACATCATAGACTACAAAGACTATGTTTTCCAATTCTAAAAGGTTTGTGAAGAAATCAGCATTTCTACTGTTCTTGATGTGACATTTACTGATCCTCCAGCACTTCAAATCCACCCTTTTAACAGTGTGGGGTTTATTATTCTCTGGTATTGTTATAATTCCAGTAACATCCATTCCGGTTTCTCCCAGATCCTTTAGGTATCTACTGTGTAACTACAAAGTCGAAAGAAAACAACATTATTGCTTCTAGCAGAAAAAGAAAATTGCATCTCTATGACAACAAATGAGACAATACAGGCAGGCCAAATCCGTTCCCTAATGGAACTACTAACAGACTGTAATCTTCAAACTCAGTGCCAAACAACAGAAAGAAATTATGCCTAGCTAAATATTTGAAGAAACCCCTATCTTTGTGTGTAATATGTAACACCGAGGAAGCTCCTCTTCTACTCCTCTCTTCTAGTGCTGCAGTAGTATTTTTTTCTATTCAGTCAGGCAGTCTCTAGCCATTTGATTGATTTCAGACAATGCAGTTTACTCAACTTCATATGACTGGGGTATGGGGGAAGGGGAATAACTCAAGAACCCCAAATTATTGACTTATCGCTCAGCAAAACAACCCGCACCGACAATCTCAAACAAACACTTCTGAGAACTAAGCAACTTACCCAAGTTTCAGCATGTTGATCATGTCAAAGTTGACTACATCAAACACCTTCATTGCTTTGTCATCTCCAACAGAACAGAATAATGCCCCCTCTGAACTAACAGCAATACTCTCAATAACACCTGTGAATTAATTTAAGATACTATTAAGAAATGGGAAAGAACATCCTTCATTTCAGTATTATATACGGAAAACCTACAGAGGCTTAAACCTGTTTCCCAACTGTTTTGTCACCTTTTCCATTTAAAACTCTACCTGAATTCAATAAAATAGTATTTAAAAAAATAAAATTCACAAAACAACACTTTATGGCCTATCAGCATTTAGACTCAGGTATGTGATAATGAACAATTTACAAAAAACATAGTAAAATATTATTATGGCAGTAAGTTTAGTTTAAAATGTTGATTTTAGAAAATTGAGAACATTATGATGGGGTAAACATCATGTGCTCCTCAGCTTGCATCTCTCAACAGGGTAAAAGCAGCAGAACTTTACAGACTATTACACCCAGGATACTCAAAACTCCTCTGCAACTGAGCCTTCCATAAAGTTCTCACAATGCTGATTTTCACATGGTAGGTTTTGTTGACATCTTTTGCTTCTATATATAATAAGAAACTGATAGTTGAGATCAAAACCAGACTTTAGTATTTCTTGTAACTCTAAAAGGAAACCATGCTTTTACTACCTATTTTAAAATATTTTTCTTACTCTAACATTCTGCATATCAAACTGGATTTTTTTCCTTCAGGCATATCATCTCTAATACTGTTGAGAATATAATTTTCTGTCTAGCCTATTTAATGCTTAGCATAGTGTTGAAAACCTTTGTGTGCTTATTAGCTTAGAAAATTGGATTAAAATTTCTCTTAATTGCAATTTGTCTGATAATTACAACAATTAGGCAGAATTTACTCTACAGTTACAGTATTCCAGATGAAAATAACTGCTTTTTTTCCACACTGCAAGGGGAAAAAAAAAAAAGACTGAGGTATCCTTATTTAAAGTAACATATTTTTAAACTTCTCTGGATTTTATGAACACTTTTGTGTATCTTGTTCACTTACATCCCAGATATTCTCCCCACAATCAGGCACAAGGCAATGCAAAGGCTTCAGTTTTCATTTTCGTGTTTCATTTTTATCCTATCCTGTCTACAGCTTGGGAGCAAAATGTAACAGGACAGAAGAGTAAAAGGAAGATTGGCAGACATAATTTAATCTCTGACTGCACTAAAGGAACCCCAGAATCTCTCTCTGTATTTGCACTCTCTCTTCAAATAACAAAGACCAAGGGAGACAAAAAAAGTAAAATCCTTTAGATAAGAAAGAACAACTTCTCACCCAAGTGACTTCGGAAGTGTTTAACAAACTCAATCCCTTCTTCTATTTTCTTCCAGAATTTTACATGTCCGTCATGACTAGCTGTTATGATAAAATCTGTCCTACAATTAGAAAAGAAAAATAAAGTCAAGAAAACAGATGCACACATTTTGTACCTTCCTGCTGGTGAGTAATTTGCGCTAGAATTAACACTGTGCAGAGAATGAAATCTCAAGAAATTACTGTGACAGTCTGTCTGAATAGGTACTATACCTCCTGGAAAAACAAAACAGGTATTTTAGTGCATTCTGGATTAATCTATGAAAAAGTAAAACTGAAGAAAAATGTAACACTATCCTTTTTGAATATGTAAATATAAGTCCTATTTTATGTCTGGTTTCATGGTAGTTACTCTGTGTGTGTGATCTCTGCAATTCTAGTGAATGGTATTTTTTCATAGGGAGTAATTTATTTTTACTCCTGTATGTCCTGCATATTTTAACAAGGATTTTAAGACCCTCCTTTATCCTATAAAAACAACTTATATCTTGCTTCTAGGTAAGCCACTTATTTTTCTAAAAAAACCCACCACCCTTTAAAAACCACCTCAGGACACTGTAACTTTCCATTATAAAACTTGTACAGTGAAAATTTCTTAGCCTACACAAAAATACACACCAGACAAAGAAATACAATGGAAAAGAAAAACACTTACTTTGTACATGCTACGTGTGTAATAACATCTCTGTGCATGTAACTGCGTTCATACATTGAAGCCGATGGTAGATTTTCAAGATAAACGTGTTCGAATTCAAGAACTACACAGAATAGGAAGAAAATTCAGGATTTTTTCTTCATGAAGTCATATCTACATTTTGTTTTCTTTTACTTATCCTTTTATTGCTTACTCATATTTAGTCAAAAATATGCAGGATTTTGTGCAAACATAATTAAAGGGCTTTTAGCTCTGGCTTTGCACTCAGACTTACACATTTTCTGTGGACTAAAGCCACTCAAATGCTGCTTTAACTCATATTGCTCCTCCCTCTCCAACTCTCCCTCCCTGCTCCAACTGTTACAGTAACTGTCTTATTGTTTCAAAATAAACAAAGTCAATCAACAGTTTTTAAGTTACTGCCAGAAAACAGAAGGTCATCTGAACCTCATTTCATTCTAAAAACACATGTACCCCTGTTGTTTTTATGAGATTTGTAGTCCCACACAGGTCCTGCAGTCTAAATTTTAAGTTCTGGTATCCACCTATTTCATTGCTTAACTGGCTGACCTAAAATAATCTGATTTTGAGCTTTGCTTCTGATTTTTAGATCCTACTTGTTAACACCTGTGCAATGGTGTTTTTTACTGAACTTGCATGTTTATATCTGATGAACATTGTTTTCCTTACTTAAAGAAAACTTAAAGTGACACCCAGAGAGCTGGAAGTTGCTGCACACATCAATACCACATGGCAAAACACAACCTAGAGGCTGCTCCTGCTGCTCCAGCTTAGGGCAGTGATCTAAAACACGGATTAACCCTACATCAATAACCAGCACAGCTTCAGCCTGTGCAGTAACAGGGCTCTTATTTCCTCTTTTCCGGAAGAAATAAAAGTCTTAGAATCACAGAATGTTAAGGGGCTAGAATAAGCCTTAAATACCACCTAGTCCCAAGCCCCCTCCTACTGGACCAAGTTGCTCCAAGCCTTATACAACCTAGCTTTGAACTCTGCCACGGCTGGTCCATCCAAAAAATCACTGGGCAACCTGTGCCAGTACCTCACAGTAAGGACTTTTTTCCTTATAACTAACCTGAATTTTCCCTTTTTTCAGTTTGTACTAACTAGTCTTGGTGCTATCACTGCAGTTCGTAACAAAGCGTCTGCCTCCAGCTTCCTTCTAAGTCTCCTTGGGTACTGGAAGGTTGCTATGAGGTGTACACGTAATCTTCTCTTCTGCAGGCTGAACGGCCACAACTTTCTCAACACCAGGCACGTCCGCTGTGTAATTCCGCACCTGGAGATTCCCCCCAGTGCGCTCATTTGCCATACGAGACAGTTTCAGGAATCGCGCTCCCGACAGCTGCCCTCACCACGTGGCCGTGGCCGCTCCCGCCCGGCGGGGCCCGGAGGCGACCCCAGCACCCCGACCCCAGTCGGGGCAGAGCTTCACTCGTCCCCTTACCTCTCCTTTTCTTCGCCTGCGCGGCCTCCCCCGGGAGCGGCCCGACCCAGCGCTCCTCCTCATCCTCCTCGTCCGCTGCTGCTGCTGCCGCCGCATCCCTGCCGCCCGCCTCCACCGCCACCTCCGGCAGCTTTCGCTTGCGCTCGAGCTCGGCGGACGCCATGGTGTGACGTCACTGATCCGCGCCGGGCGCTCTGCGAGTGACGTAGGCGCCGCGAAACGGACGGCGGGAAGCGGCCATGGTAGTAACGGGCGGGAGGGGTGGCGGGCGAGTGCCGGGGGCTGCCGGCGCTCCGATACCTCGGGGCCGGGAGGCGCTCTCGGCCGCTGGGGCCGCGGGGCTGCTTTGCTGGGAGGGCGCTGGCTTTCCGGCTGGGAAGGGGCGACGGTCGTCCCTCGGCTGTGAGCGGGGATGTCCCGCCTCGCGTCCTCCCGCCGTTGTGCTGCAGGGGTTGGCGTCGGGGGCGCGGGGGCTCCCTGTCTCACTGCCTTTGCATGTTGTTTATACCCTGCCGATATTTTGCTTCCTAAGGTGCCTTCTTTCACAAACCTTTTGTCGCTTCCCTCTGCCCTCCCTCCCCGCGTTCCCGCCGTTGTGCTTGGTCACATGACGCGTTCCGCCCTCCTGGCGTGTGTAGGTGTGTGAAGGGACAGTGCCCGGAGAAGGGAGTCGGGCTCTGCTCGGTGGTGCCCAGCAACAGGACGAGAGGCAGTGGGCAGAAACTGATTCCCAGGAAGTTCCACCTGAACATGAGGAAAAACTTTACTGTGCAGGTGACGCACTGGAACAGATTGCCCAGAGAAGCTGGAGGGTCTCCCTCACTAGAGGTGTTCAAGCAGCATCTGGACACAATCCTGTGCCGTGTGCTCTGGCGTGACTCTGCATAAAAAGGGAGGTTGGACCAGATGACCCGCTGTGGTCCCTTCCAACCTGACCCCTTCTGTGATTTTTTTCGTAAAGCCTTGGCTAGCATAGAGCCTACACTTGGACATGTGTGCATTTCTTACCTAGTTACATAGTCCTAAAACAAGGTAAGAAGGAATAACTTGTTGTAGCTAGGAGACATTATTATTAATGCCGAAAAAACCTTCAGTTTTCAGGTATGGTGTGGAAATAGAAATGTAATTTAACCATACATTTTTTAACATAAAGAGGGAAAACTGCAAGCTACAAGAAAATAACATCCAAAAATGACATTTCAGTGTGTGTGCAGTATAAGGTAGTTAAAAGCACAGCATGAAGGATGGCAAGTCAGTTTTCCTTGTGAGAGCTGTGTCACATCTCACAATATGTACATTTTGAAATGTTGTGTGAAATTGACTTGGCAATTTAAAGTTAACAACAGAATCATTTAATCATTTTTGTGTGATGGAGATTTTCTGGCTTTCTCTTTAGAGAAGAGACAGCATTATTATTCCATATAATGCTTTCATGGTGATGAATTATAGTATTGCAGAGGATATGGGCAGAATAGGTTTTTATCCCACCCCAAGACCCCTTTCAAATTTCCAAAGCATGGGGTTCTTTTTCTCCCCTTTCTTTTATTCTTCTCTCTCCCCACTATCCCCCCAGACCCTCTTTGTCTCCTTTTTTGTTTGAGAAAAAACTAAGACTGCTTAGTTTCTTTCTTAGTTTCTTCCTTCTGGGCAGTCTTTGCTGGAGGCGTTTCAGAAGTCTTAATAAATTATGGGAACTGGTTCTGTTTTATACTATGGAGACATTCCAAGACTCTTAAGAAGATAATGATCTTCCTTTCCAAAATCTGTGCTGATTAGTTCTTATAAGATCACGGTAACCTAGATTTTGTAGTGTTCTGTTTTAAATGCAACAGAGTTGCCAGGAAGACTAGTAGAAGCATTCAGTGATATGTTCTGATTTTCTTTCCTCATTCACTTTGCTATGAGCTGCTTGAACTTTGCAAGTACTAGTAGAGTATTTCACTCCTTTTAAGTAGGAGTTTCGACATAATTTTCTCTGATGCTGTGTTTTTGTTCTGAAAAAGAACAAAAGATTGAGTTAGTAATTTATGCTTCATTAAGAAGGTAGAAAAGTGTAACTCTTCTCTAGGTCATTATCTAGTTTTACTGTTTCTGTTTAATCTCTATGTGTTTGGTGGGCCTAGTGACCCACTAAGGTATTTTTAAAGGCTTCCTGCATCTGGTACATCTAGCCTGTTGATTGTTTTCCTTGGGGAAAAAACAAATTTAGTCCTTCTTATTTTTCCCCTGTTAATTGCTGCTGTCATTCAGGTATCTCTTAAGTGAGAAACATACAAATTCATAAATTTAATTCCAGCTGTTTCTTTCTGACCCAACAGTTTCTCAAGGTTTTTAATTTAACTTGGATTGATTTTTATTTTGGTTGTCCAGGTGCCCTCTTTTCTTGCTTGTCTGTATGTCTTTTAGGTTCTTCTGTTTGTTTTTTTAGTAACTTTGAGGGTGCTTAATTTGTTAATAATATTCTGAACTCAAATGAAAGAGAAATAGATTACCATGTTTATTGACAGAGCAGAAGTAACTGCCTAAAAATAAATATTATATACATTTATATGTGTATATATAATGTTATCTATAATAAATATTGCAGATAAATGGAGGTAGAGTGTGGCTTCGTAGATGTGAGATTCTCTTATTGTTTCTGTAATAAAGTTGTTGGAAAATAAAGAAGCCATTGCAAATAATCAAAGCAGTTATGAAAATTTAGAACTTTGTAATTCAATTTTAAAAGTAAATTATTAGTATATTCTAATTTTACTTATTTAGTTAGCTGATTCTACTTAATGGCTGAGTGCTTTCTAAAACTGTGGAGGAGTTAGGTAAAAGCTTTAGATCAAGGGAGTTTATTCTATTACATAGTTGTTCTGAAATGGCAGGTATGATTAAGTAATCAGTTACTGTAGCTCTACATGATAACTGTTCTCTTTGCTTGTTAATAGGCTGAATGTTTATCAGAAATCAGTAATACAGCTGGTCCTGCAGATGGCAAGGAAGAACTCTTGGATGAATGTGAGAGTATTTGGAAGCAGATGGAAGAGGTATGCAAATACAAATGATAGACTAGGTTTATTATAAAGCTTTTTCAGAATTATTTTATTCACCACATGCTTGCCCCACCCCCTCCAAAGAAACCACTTTGATAAAACCAAACCAACCAACCAAAAAAAACCCAAAGAAAAAATCCACAAATAAACAAACAGAAAAAAAAAAAGGAAATAATGTCTTCAGAAAGGTCAAATATGGAAGTGCTGGGAGGCGTGAAGAATGCCTTTTAGTGTCAACGTGCTGATGTTATGATTTAGTTAGTGTGGGAGTATATATTAAAATTATGGAAAATGAAACAATTTATCTGTGTCACGGTAGTACCAGCATACAGAGACCCTTCTCTCTTCAGCCTCACAAAAGATGGGATTCCATTTCCTTTAGATCTTAGAGGAGAGAGAGAATAGGAAGAGAGAGAGAGGCAGAGAAGGACAACGATGTCTCCCTATGCTTACTCCCTTGCAAACTCACAGTTATATTGTCATGGTTAGAATTTCTCTCTTGTACATAGTACAGTATGTTAACAAATAACAGTTTAGGGCTGGTTATTTTTATTTTCAGGGTTTCCAGAAAAGATGAACTGCTCTCAGTTCTTAGGGAACACTGTTCTTCCTTTAAGATTCTGCTGAATCTGATAAAAAATCATATTCTAAATTATATTTTCAGTGTCTTAATCACTTCACTCAATTTTCTATAATACATGCTATTTGCTTGAGTTCTGAGTTGTAGGTTCAAAGCAATAAAATACCAGAAACAGATGTAAAAGTATTTCCAAACTTAAAGTAGAACAAAGTCCAGACAACTCACAGTGCAATAATTTTATACAAGTTGATTTAAAAAGACTAATGGAATTTATTTCTTGTTGAATATTCAGATAAGTTCTCATGTAACAAGTGGTAGGGAATTCGATGTCAGGAACTTAATTCTGAGTTTCTGAACTTTGGTTCGGAGGACCTGAACTTTCTTTGAAATTTTCAAATTAGAAGGGAAATCTGAATGTTTACTATTTTGAATGTAATTGAAAATATTTGATACCTTTTATCTCATTCCCAGCATGCCCAAAATAATGCAAGAAGAGATGTGTTATTTTTAGAAGTTGATGAAAATAGTAGGATTTTTATTATTTGGATTTTGCATCCTGGACGTAAAATGTTCGTGTTTCAGCAAAACATTTAAACTAATAGTCATTTAATTAGCTCCTAGGTTATATGATTGCATGTAATGTTCCAATGATTGTGTGTCATCATGAACAGTTTGTATAGGATTTCTCCCACAAAGTGTTCTGGTATCCATACGTTAACAGCAAGGTTTCCAAAGTACTGCTTAGTAGTTCTGTGCTTAGTAGAATATATCCTGCCTTGTTATGGGCAGGATATATTCCACTAATATATTGGTTACATTGGTGACAGTTAGAAAAAAAAAGAGAGTTTAGCAGGTGTCACCTCTGTATACCTTGGGTATTTGTGGTGGGCTGAATTTCAGACTGCATATACACCCTATTGCAGTTATGAGAGCTGATGTAGTATTCTCCTAAAAATCAGACCACTTCTGAACTGTAGAGTATACTGCCCTAAGTGACTTAAAACTAAAAATATGTATTGTAATATGATTGCTCTGTTTGGAAAGTCAGAAGTGTAGCAGAAAGTGTGTTAACTTTTCAGCAGCTTCCCTGTTCAGCCTTGTCCATTACTCTCTTCCCAGTTTCTCATGTTCTTCATCTGTTCAATGCCTTTCCTCATATGAACTTTGCCCTCATAACTTGCCTTTTTACTCAAAGAATACATCTTTCTTTAGCTGCTACTTTTCTCCTTCAGAGTTAATTAAGTTCTACTTTACTGTGCTGTGATTTCAAAACATTTCTTAATTTGCCCTTCTGGGTTAGGGTATAAGGGATGTGGAAGGATCCAAATTAAAATTCTTTTATTCCTATATTAAAAAAGTTGTGTTTAAATTTTTAAGAATTGTGTTTTGTTCTTACAAAAGAGAAAAGTAAACAAACTTTCTTTGTGTTTTATTTCTTTTTGTTTCTACCAAGTGTCAGAGCAAGCTAATGCTTCTGGGAACAGAGACACTGCTACCATCAGATGCCAAGGTAAGACAGTGGGTTTTTAAAAATACTTTCGAAAAAACAAGGCTTATGGAATGCTCCCTCATCATGGATCTTCACCTGAATGCTGAACTGTTGACTGTACCTGTGAGTGTGACCATTCCAGTCAAATCTGTGTCTCAAGAGTTTAGTGACAAGGATGTTGTTCCAAACAGTGTCAAATGCTTTGCACAACTCCCAGATAGATGACATCAGGAGCTCTTCCCTTATGCACCAATGCCTGAGTCTTGTTATAGGAAGCCACCAAATTCATCATGCGTGATTTGCCCTTAAATTCATGTTGCTTAACAGCAGTTACCTTTTAATTTTCCTCATGCCTTAGTGTAATTTCAAGGAGGATCTGCTCCTTGGTCTTGCTAGGCACAGAGGTGAGACTGATCAGTCTGTAGTTTCCAGATTTTTGGTTTTCTTTTCTTAATAATATGGGTTGTGTGTCTCCTTTTCCAGTTGGTGGGATCTTCACCAGATTGCCATGACTTGTCAAATATGATGGATAGTGGCTTTACCACTTCACCTGCCAGTTCCCTGTCGTGGGTTTAATCCTATCTGGCCAGCTTAGCTGTTCATCACTCCCCTCCTCATCTGGACAGGGAAGAGGAAATATAACTGAAGCCTCAGGAATCGAGATAAGGGCAGATTTTCTCTTACCAACTTTGAAAAATCCAACTGATAAATGGCTAACATAGGCAGCAAAGTGGGAGGAGAAGGCGGTGTAACTTCAAACCTGTTTGGACTTTTTCCTAATCAGTGCATATGTAATTTCTTCTTGTTAAATGTCATTGTTATGCTATCCCTCACAGCATCCTTCTGGACATCTGTGTAGCCGTGGGATGAGAGGTTCACAGTGTGCCGGGTGAAGATGTGGCTGAAGCATAGAGCTCAGCAGGGTGCAGTGACTGGGGCTGTATCTGACTGGTGACCAACCACCAGCTGTGTTCCTCAGGGTGCAGCTCGGTTCTGTTCCATGTGTTTATCAGGATGAAGGATTGGAACGCACCATGAGCAGACTGGCTGATGATTCCAAACTGGACGATGCTGTTGGCACTCTGGAGGGACCAGAAGCCTTGCTGGGGGATCTAGGTAGCTTAGAACGTTGGGCATGACATCCAGTACCAGCACAAGCTGCGGCAGAGGAGTGGCTGTTGGGCAGCCCTGCAGGAAGGGGTCTGAGGGCGCTGGCTGACAGCGGCTCAGGGTGAGCCCGCAGCGTGCCCGGGCAGCCCGGAGGGCAAATGGCATCCTGGGAGCCTTGGGCATGGCACTGCCAGCCACAGGAGAGGGGATTATCCCTGTGTTCAGGGCTGTGCAGCCGCACCTGGCGTGCTCAGCGCAGTTCTGTGCCCCACAGTTTAAGAAGGTTGTGAAGGTCCTCGAGTGCATCCAGAGGAAGGCAACAAAGCTGCTGAGAGGCTGGAAGGCATGTCGTGTGAGAACTGCTGAGGAATTTGGGCTTCTCTGCTTTGTAAAGAAGGAGATGAGGGGCACACATCTTCCTCAGGGAAGTGGAGAGGGAGATGCTGATATCTTCTTTCTGATACCCAGTGATATTATGTGTGGGAATGGTTCAAAGATATGCAAAGGGAGGTTCAGAAATGACATTAGAAGGCATTTCTTTACTGTATGAACCTTTCTCTGAGGGGCCTTGACAACTCTGCCAACTCTTGACTCCTTCTCATTTCCCCCTTTTGGAAAAATAGTAGAAACATTCTGTGATCCCTATGAATTATAAATATAAATAAAATATTTTGAAATAACTAGTGTAGATGCTCTTTTGTTTACTGCTGTATCAACTTAACAATTCAATTTCTATCCTGTTCTGCCTCATTTTATGCCATTGCAACTCAACACACTTCAAGAGATGCTGTTTTTCTTGTTACACAGCTTTCCTTGTTAATGCTGCGATGGAAAGCTTTAACAGGAAATTTTCGTCAATGGCAAGCAAGAAATCCTGAATGTAAGTAACTGTTTCCTTGTAAAGAATGCTTATATAAACTTCTGCAAAGTTTCTTTCGTCTAGGCCATGAGTATATTGCATGTCTGCTGATTGTATTTTCATTCCATAACTACTTAAAATTAAAATAATGCTACTTTATAAAAAAGTAGCATGTATGTTGCATTTCTTCATTATTTTTGCACTTCACTTCTAAGTCAACTTGAAATTAAAAGTGAATTCCACTATAACTTAATCCTATGATTCTGGACAAATAAGTGCATGTTTTATACCACTATTCATCAGTCAGTTAAGTGGAAAAACAACTATTAGCAGATCTCCTAACCAAATAAGAAAAGTTAGTTATCCTGTTAACCTCCTTCATACTCTTTTCTGTGTAATTTCTTTTTCTATCTTTTATTTGTATTTAATTTTTACAGCAGAAATGCTTTGGCAAATACTTTGGTCTTCATTTACCTTTTAAGAAGCTGATACATTAACCATACATCTTCTGATTGTTTTTCTGATAAAAGGTGTGTAGTATTATGATGTGGTAGTTGAAACTTTGAAATAGACCTTTTGTGCTAAGCCCTTCACACTGTAGTAAAATACCTATTTTGAATTAACAGGGATTGGAGATTTCAAGTCAAGGTAAAGTGGTAAGAGCCACTAGAATTTTTAAATAACACAGGAATCGAGAACACTTACTGATCCTAAGAAGTTCAAACCAGTGAGACTAGTGGTAGTTCTTGTATTTGTTAGGCAGTGTCAGTCAAAAGGTATCAATTCCTCAGTTCTTAAAAGCTGTCTTTGTACATAAGCACCACTTATAGATAGATTTCACCCTCTTGCAAGGCAGATGTGACCAGACACTGGAAATAAAAGCATTTAGGATCTAAGTGTGAGTAAAGTAATCTTTGTTTTCAGATGTCCCATATGGACATTCCTAAAACAGTTCACACTACGCTATCATTAATATTCTGGTAGTACTCATGGTTATGTCTCCTGTCAAGGACCTGTTAGCACCTGTCAATCCATAAAACTACTAGTTAATCTTTAAATTAGTATATTAACTCAGTTGAATATTTTTATGCCAGTAGAGTCTTGGTTTTGTATTATTTGCAAAATTATAGCAATGTATTATGGACAGCATGTGGTGATTTCCAATGTTTTGTCATTTAGCCAAATGGAAATGCCTTTTCAGATCAACATTAGAGGCAGTTCTCCAACTTTTTTCAAAGTCTACGTATTTGCTGCATCTCATCAATAAATAAGAGAAGCTGGGATTTTTTTTAATAAATAGATACTGTTGCTGTACTAGAATAAATTCATAGTTCAGTGTTGTAAGCCTCACTCCAAGAACTGTCAGCCTCCAGTGCTTCTGAGGTATGTAGACCAAAGGCATGTCATTGAATGAATTTGGCACATACTGGTTCCTGGCTGCTGTTCATGAATAAGTTGCTGGCTTAAAGCAAATTAATTGAAAGAACTTAGTTTTTATCTGGGTAAAATACCTGAGGCTGTTAGATTTCCATACTAAAATATGTATATTAAACTTTAAGCTATTGGCTTAAAAATATCCTTGGCCTGTTTTTTTGGCTAGCTGACTTGCTTTGTTCAACCATTTTTACTTCTTCACAGATTATAGTATTTCTTACTAGAAATCTTAATTTTTTAATAGAGAATTGTCTATAATTAATTATAACCAAATCTCTGCCTTTTTTGGCTCCCTTTCCAGTGGAAGAAACAAGTTCCTGCTAAGAATTTGAATAGGGTTATGGAGCTTGTATGAAAATGAGGAGTCCACTTTGCTTACTTCTCTGTCTTGGCTTCTTTCTACCTACTATTTGTTTTGAAGGACAAATTACTTAATTGAAACCTAATTACTTAATTGAAACCTAAATAAAAATAGCAGAAATACTGATTTAATAGAATTTACTAATAGAGCATGAGGTCTGTCTTGTTACTTTGTTTTTAGCTTTTAGTAGTGGCCAGTTCATTTCCTGTAAATGAGGACCTGTCAGCATTTCAATCTTAAACCTTATTTTCAGAGGTTATAGCTTGGCAGTTCTACGTTTTTTTGAGCACAATATTGGCTAACAGACTTGAATTCGTGATGCAAATTTTATTTTTGCAAAGCTTTTACTTTAGTGGTTTTTTCTTTCTCAATTTCTGGTATTATTTATGTAGCTCTAGATCTGCTAAATCAGCTGAATTAAAACTTCTAAAAAAGCTTTTGGCTTATAAAAATAAATTTTAACTTTTACCTTTGCAAAAGCAGGAAGTGAAAGCAACCATATTTTAAACCATTTCAAACAGTTGTGGTCTCCACATAATTACTGGTTTTCTTTGCAAAATAGGAGTATTCTGCCAAATACCTTTTTGTTTTATTTTAATATGAGTTTCTGTATAAACATGTGCATAGTAGTTGCTTTTACATTCTTAGCATCTGGTAGTATTTTTCTTAGTAATTGTACTTTGTATCACTAGGCAATTCTCTCTGACATCTGATTTTTGCAAGTGTAGTGATTCAACAAAACTGAAAAATATTTAATTGATTGTGGATTGAGCAAGCAGTGAATTTACAGCAGCAGCTGGCATAAGTGTGTTGTCCAAGTGTTTTAGATCTGCATTGTTCCTTCACTAAATTATGTCTAGTGATTTCTTCCCCAGAAGCACAGGGCTTGCTATTCTGATACTCACACAATATGAACAGTGAATGACAAACATGAACTCAGGATCAGGTATCTAGAAATAAAGAAGTGTTATGTGGCAGCTGTAAAAGTTGGTAATAATTGGTAAGGGAAGGCTTATAAAGATCATGTCAGCAGGAATGGCAGGGGAAAGAATTGTGTGGTTTTTTTTCAAATATGCCAGGGAATGTGAATAAAAGTGCACCAATTAATTTTATCCTGTGTAGTTAGTATATTCATGTAAATAAAGAAATCTTACTCTAATAAAGCACAAAACACTGTCTTCTGCAGCTCTTAAGCTTAATTGGGAGCAGAGTACTCAAATTTTGCGTCAAGATTTAGAAACAGTAATTTTCCAATTAAAAGGAATTTTATTGAAGCATTTAATGTAATGCATTTTTGATGCATCAGTAGTTTTTTCTGATTTTCATCTCAGAACAAACAGTACTTTTAAAACTACTAATCTAAAGCTTCTTAAAATTTTTGAAGTAAGTACTATAACATTACCAAAGAAAGTACTTTTCTGAATTTATTAAATAGACTGTGTGTATTTAGGAGGTGTTTAATGCTGTCATGAGAGGGTTAAGGATTTCCTTTTTGATTAAGGAATTTTTTATTTAAGTAATTATTTGTAAGATTAGAGGTTACAAGCCCAAACTTGCACAAAAAATCTGCCTTATAAAGACTTTAATCTGTTAGAATCTCTTTCATTTCTCCTGTTAATGTATTGAAATAGTTCAAAAAAGTAATGTGTTTATGCAGAAGCTGCAAGTTGACATGGATCTGAGAATTGACTGGGGTCTGTTGAGTGCTGTAAAAAACAAGAATTCAATTTTTATTCTTAAAATGCATGAGTCATAAATCACTGCATTTTTTGGAAGCATTCTGGAGAAAAATTTCCGTCTTCTTCAATTGTACTTTGGTTTCACTTAGGTATTGCTGTTGCTCATTGTTTTGAGTTAGGATATTGTCCTTGTTGGGCCATTCATCTCCCTACTGTTCTTGTGGACAGTAGGGATGGTGACATGCTTCTGAAGTTATTAAAACTAGGTTCCATAGTCCTGATGAAGCATTTAGGAGGCTATTTAACAAGGAATTGGAGGACTGGAAGAATTTGATTGCCCACGTTGGTAATGTTGATGGAATGCCTTCTGCGGAAAAAAAATCAGGCTTGGTTGTCTTGAAGTGTACAGAAATTTGCTGTTTATTCATTATACACCTGCACCAATGTACTTGGAGCTAGTTCAGGTATAAAAATAAGACAGAAGCATTAACACTGCACTTTTTTCAGTGTAATTTAATTTGCTGAATAGTGGTAGTAGGTTAGCCCAGCAGGACACCACAGCATGTGGTTAAACTGCTACTGAGATCCAAACTGTTTTTCAGAAGCTACACAAATTTTTCTCTAGCCAAGCTGCTTTTCAGTATAAATAAATCTTTATCATCCAATGCAAAAAATAAACAATTCATTTTATTTTTCAGTAATTTCTACCAATCCAGATGTACTGTTAGAAATAGGAAAAGAAGAGGTAAGTCTAATAAAATTTTGTTGGGAAAAAAACCAATATATGCAATTGCTGCATTTTCCTATGACTGTTCCTAGGGTGGACTACTACTAAAATGCTGTGTATTTTCCTTCAGCCATTTATGTTGTTCTAATGAGTTTTTTTGCCCTCTATTATAACTAGTAAAATTTCCTAGTTGTAACGAGTGAGGTTTTAAACTGACTTATTGCACAAGTCACTGAATAATGCACAATAAACAGTATTTTGCCTCTGGCCACACCATCTAATCACAGTAGCTCAACAAACTTATCTGCGTGCAATAAAAATGATGTGATAATCGACATCCCTGCTACATTAATGCTCCAAAGCCTCACTTAGGATTGGAGTCCCATTGTTCTGGGTGCCACCAGGAGACAGAAATCTTATGCCAAGGAGACTGATGACCATGCTTTGCAAAGATTTTGCCATCATCTTCCACGTCATGCAGCAAGTTCCATTTCTAGGGCTGAAGCCTACACACTGTACTTTTCAAGATTACTTTCATTTAACATTGTGCAAGTGCTCGGGCAAGAAGATCCACTCAGAACTGTGTTTTCAAGATGACCTGTGGCTGAATTTTAATTGCTAATTTGTCACAGAATGGCTGGAGTTAGAAGGGACCTCTGGAGATAGAATCATAGGATAGTTTAGGTTGGAAAAGACCTCTAAGATGATCGAGTCCAACATCCAAATCCACCACTAAACCCTGCCCTTAAGTGCCTCACAGGATTGTGTTGAGGTGGCTTTTGAATATATTCGAAGAAGGACACTCCATAGCCTCTCTGGGCAGCCTGTTCCAGTGCTCAGTCACCCTCCAGTAAGGCAGTTTTTCCTAATTTTCAGACGGAAATTCCTGTATTTGAGTTTGTCCTCATGCTCCTTGTCCTATCAGTTTGCATCACTGAAAAGAGTCTGACCCTATCCTCTGACACCTGCCTTCAAGATATTTTTATGTGCTTTTTTAAACAAAATGTTATAATATATTGCATTTCATACTTAATAGAAAATGATGTAGTATTATGTGTTACACGGGAGAGTCAGTTATCTTTGACATCATGTTCTGTGGCAATAATTTGCAAATAATTTGTTGAGTTCCTCCATTGGAAGAAAGAGCAAATCAATAATGTCTTGCGGGTAACATTATACTATGTTGATGGAACATAGGAATGCTATGTGACTTGGGAATATTCCTGGTCTAATGCCTTCTAGTATCAGTCACAACAGCAAATCTGACTGCCCTTAAGAGTCACTATCAAAAAATTGTTAGGTTACGCACTTTGATTGTCATGTTGGTCTGATATTTGAGGATTACAGGGTTTTTTTCAGATGTTGCATTTATGGAGAATGTTTGTTCCTGTAGCATATTTTCAGAATGTGTATTCCTTTGAGCTAAATTCTTAAGTGCTCCTATTTTGTATGGAAGCAGAAAAAATACATCCAAATCATAGGGTTATATAAGAAACATTATTTTGTAGAAGACCATAGTCTCTAACAGGGGACCTCATAAATTTATACAAGTGTCTGAAGAGAATGGAGCCAGGCTCTTCTCATTGATGGCAAGCAGTAGGACAAGAGGCAATGGGATGCACAAGAACACAAGGAAGAGCAACTTTACTGTGCACTGGAGCAGATTGCCCAGGGAGATTGTGTAGTCTCCCTTGCTGGAGTTTGTCAGGAACTGTCTGGATGCAACCTATGCCATGTGCTCTTGGATGACCCCTGCCTGAGTAGGGAGGTTGGACCACATGACCCACTGTGGCCTGTCACATTGGTTAAAGAAACTTCCCCGTCCAACAGTCCAGGAGCCATGGTGTCAGTCACTAAGCCCATTTGCAGCTACACATCCCACACTCAAACAGATCAGGTGTCCTTACCAGCTCAATCCTAGGTTTCCTTCTTTCGTTAGGCTCACACATTCTGATCCTTAAAATAATTTAATTGTGGCATAATGACAGAATAACAGCTTGAGCTGGGTGCCTCTGAGGAAGGACCCAGAACAAATGAAATTTTATATCCTCAAAGCCAAAAGGCTTTAATATCCTCACAGTGTAAACACGGGGAAGTCCAGGCATCAGCTCCATGTCTGAATGTCCCCTCACCTGGCAGGGCACAGGTCCTCAGTCCCCCTGTTCTACTAAGAGTTGGCAGTTAATGGCCTCTTGCCTGGGGCTCTTGCCAGAGCTCAACCTGCAGCTGCACCCTGAGCTACATGCACTGAATGTACTCCTCAACACAACCGTACCCATTCTGTGATTCTGTAATGGAAGACCCAGCCCACTGAGAGTCCGCTGTTCCCTAGATTCAGCAATGCCTATTTCTCCATATTTTATTTCTCCATATTTTCTGTCCCAGATATGTCATGGCACTGAGGATCATTTAATTTATGTATGTAGTTAGTCTGTCTTTGATGCATCTTCATCTTCTGTATTTTATGTGGTGCAAGTAGCATGGATTCATTCTTGCCAGCAGCTGCAATAGCTTTGACAATAGAGCCCTGGTGCTGTAGTTATTTTCTCCTCAGCCATTCATCAGCTGAGCAGTTCATGTGTCTACTTCAGGTAAAATTAAATATTTGTTAAGCTCTGTGAGCTTCAAGAAGACATTTCTTGTGCACTTAATGATCAACTGGTCACAGTGACATTTTGAAAAGCTCCTGCATTTTAAACTGGATTATAATGTTTATTAAGAAATTGCAGATGATTTTGTCCCCCTTTATCAGATTTATAGATGTAGCCTTACATAAAACAAATACTACAGCCTGGGCTACCTGCAAACAGTAGATTAATTTATATTCTTTTATAGTTGCAGAAAGTAAAAAATGATCTTGAAATGGTGCTGTCAACAGTTCGATCAAAGAATAAACAGCTGGAAGACGACCTGAAAAGGTAATACAATCATTTGGACTTTGGAATGCTGTAAGCTTTTTTCTTTTTTTGACTGTCCAGAGAAACTATTTATCTGTTGTGCCATTTCCTACATTTCATGTTTCAAAGAGAACAGCAGTGGTATGAGGAGCAGAAACAGATGCTAGAGACTCTTAGTAAAATGGAAGAAGAGGCAAATACCCAAGATGAACATCCTTCCACAAAAAGGTATTTCTATATTTTTGAGTTACAAATTGAAGAATTTAAATATCAACAGGAGCAAATGAGCAAGCAAACTCTTAAAGTTTGTTCCTTGTTTTGTTTAATAGATCAAATAATTGCTCAATAATCCATATTTGAAACATGAAAGTAATGCTACTATATCCTGTGATTAAGGATGCTGAATTTCTAACAATAGATAATAAGGGGTTTTTTTTACTTAGGAGGGGCTTTTTAGTTACTTGATTTGATCCCTTGTTCTGTTGCTGTGTTTTTACTGTTTGAAAATTAGAGAATTCAATGAAATGAAAAATAAAATATTGAAGTTAAGGACCTTTAAGAAAGAACTCTTGAATGCTTTGGGTGAATTCCTGGATGAACATTTCCCCCTTCCAGAGAGAGCTGAAAATATTAAAAAAAAGGTAAGACTTTTCTTTACCTATTAAATTTGAAATGTTCAGTTTATATTTAATTAGATGCAGTATCTGTTTGAAGTCACTAGCATTGAACCTGCAGTTGTATTTTGAAATAAGCATAGTTTTTACAGCTGATCATCTAGGTTTAATTTATATTTTTCAGGTTGTTTTATATCGTTTAAGGCTGTTTCCAGCTGGATATTTTCTTTTTTTAATGCCTATATCCCTTACCCAATGCAATGTATAGTAATATATTGTATTTCTTACTGAACTGCAAGGTATGCCAAATTTGGGAATGGTGTGGGGGTCAGTCCAAATTTACTCTTTTTTTTTTTAACTTGACTGGGCAAGTAGATTCCTATTTTCCTTGGCAAAGCAATTTTTAATTGTCTAACAATGTTTTTGGAACAATAAGGAAAAGTGTTTATAATTACAGAGTAGTTTGGAATGTTAACCATCAGATTTTGTTCAGGCAAACTGGGTCAAAAATTATCGTAAAACCTCAGGGAGAATAGGCAGCCAGGGAGTATTTTGCATAATAAATTCAAAGTGTGCAGTAAAAATAAAACGATAACCATTACTATTTGATAGATACAAAAAAGCCATGAAAAAAGGCAGGTTTTGATTTTGATTTCAGGCACACCTAACATTACAGAAGTAGAAATTACTTCTTTAATCCAGTTCCCTGTTATTTCAGGTAACCACATAATATAATTTCTTCAATATTATCACTGAACTCCATTTTAGAACGAATAATTTTTTTACTACTGTTTCTCCTGTGTTTTTTCTTCTAGTACCTCAGTACACTCTGTTTAGAAACTGTCTCATAGCTCTCAGTCTAAATGTATCCAAGTCTAACACAGATCCACTTGTTTGTCTTCTTACACCAGAATTTTTCTTAGAATAGCTCTGTTTCTGTCTTGTGTTTATTCCTTTTGATATATTTATGGCAGCAATCTCATATCCTCTCTTTCTTGTTTTGCTAACTGAACTAGCAACACCTTTGTGTTCTCCTGTAAGATAGTATTTTTCAATTCTCTAGCTTATCCTAGTAATAACCATTGTCTATATTTGTTTTCACTTGGATTCATCTTTTTTAGAACCTTCTAAGAAACAATATTATAAATAACACTACTAGCTCACACCCATCACCAATGCAACAAATTACAGTCTTGTCTTTTTCTGTCTGTAATTTGCAGCTAATGAATCCTGATCTTTTAATTAAAAAAAATTAAATCTTTGTTTTGCACATAAGCACATTTTTTGCACATAAAATACCAAGTGGAGATGTCAAGACATGGTGTTCATTTTCAAAGTATTATTCAAATATCTTATTTTGTTGAATCTTAATTTTTCTGCATATCAATGCCTTCCTTTCCTGTTGTTAATAAATATGACAGATAAATCTCTGCATTTTAGAAACAGTCTCAGGTGGGACAGTGTCAATTGCTTTGCACAAGTCCAGGTGGATGATTCAGTTGTGCTTCCTTTTCCACAAATACTGTAACTCTGGTAGAAGGCTACTAAATTTGTTGGGTGTAAATGGTCTATAGTGAAGCCATGTTAGCTGTCACTAATCACTTTACTTAAACAAAAAAACTACTTTGATTAATTTCAACACAAGGTTTTAACTTTCCTTAGCTTAAATTTTATTTATGCATTTCCTGAACTCTTAAACAGAGTCTGTTTTCTGACAGTCTTTTTCTTTCTTTTCACTCTTTGTGAATTCATAGCTTTTCTATATCTTTTGACTCACTTGGATCACTTGGCTTAACTACGGGTGCCCCTTAATCTGTGTCTAAGTAATTGACTGTGAAGGCAGGACAGCCAGCCATTTTTGCCTACATTTATTGAGTGTCAGAAATACAAATTGTAATCACTGGCAATGAAATTAGCTGCTATGTTGGTTCAGGAGAACACATTATTCATTTCTATTATCAGCTTGGTTCAACGGCAGGAGCAAATTCTTACCTCTGCACGTGAGTAATTCTGCTTCACTTCGTGGAAGCTTATTGTGTTCACAGTGGTTCCATGTGAGGGCAAATGTGAAGGGTTGATGTCTGTAGGACATGGCTGCAGCATAGTTTGAGCTGCTCCAAGCCTTGCTGGTCTGGTTCCGCCCTCCTTTCACCTGGCCACATACATGTGGGATTGGCAGTGGGAGTGAAGACTGCAACAGAGCAGCTCAGGTTGGCTTCCATTGCCATGGCCCAACACCTTTAATATAGGTAGTGACTGTAGTAATGGTGATCTTGCATTTTAAATCTAGGATAAAGATCTACTTTATTTTTTTCAAGATAATAGTACAAAAAATCAGAGGTTGAGGAATATTCTTTATGCAAATCTGTCTGATTGGAAGGGTGAAGAAGGTGCCTTTCAGGCTGAATAATGAAATGCTGAGCATCCTGCTTAATGAAACCATAGACCCACTGATAAAACAAAAAGCACGATACAACAAATGACTTTATAAGCATTAAGTGATTAGCGGTACTTAATTTTATTAGTAATTTTGACCAAGGAAATATATCAGCAGGGGTTGTGAAGTATCTTCATGTTTGCTCTAAGGAGCTTTTTGGAGATAGGTAATGTAGATTCTATTTCCTCAGCCAAATATTGGGATGAGGGCACATAGATAGATGTTATTAGGTCATAGCTCCAGGATTTGCAGAGCTTCCATGGAGCAGGCTCTCTCTGGAAACTGAAACTTCTGACTCTCTGCAAGTGAGACTATTACAAACTGTGACTGGGAAAAAGGATTCAGAACTTGCCTTTCAGAATATTCTTCTTGTATTCTTCCTCTGTTCCAGAAGTGGAGTTTGTATAAGGTGCTGCACAGCTGGTAATATCTTAGGTCTTAAATTCGTATATTCAACAGCAATGCTGAGAAAACCAGTGGAATATTACCTCCTTTATTTTGTTGAAACTGAAGTGCATGGGGAAAAAGAATAAAACTGGGAAATTAAAGAATCAGGTTTACTATGCAACACTACGAGCAGATCCACAGACATTGCTGCCGAAGGAATCTCTACAGACAAATGGCTTGATTTGTTTGCTACAAAGGAAAACAAGTCATCTTCTAGTGATATTTTATCATTGCCTTTTTATGCCACCAAAATTTTTAATTATTCTATTTCTTAACCTTGATAAGTGTTTTAGTTGAATTCTACGCAAGTATTCACTGTCAAACAATGAAAAAATATTAAGGCGCACTATGAAATTAAGTCTTGAGTTGTGTCAAATTTCTATTATAAACATTTATTTAAAGTTTATGAAAAATATTTTTTCCTCCAACAAATCTTGTTCACAGAAGGTTGTGTACTACGTTATAAATTTGATGTACTTTTATTTAAATGTAAACACAGGTGAAAACATTATGATCTCTTTAGATTAATCTCTCTTGATAATTCAAAAAAATGTCACATTTGAAGTGTAGGATTTTGAACTGGTAGATTTAAATGCTACCTGTATTTCTCTCGGGAGTAAATCTAACTAAATATTTTCATCTATTGTGTACTATGCAATCAAATAATTATGTAATTAATATTTGCTTTGTCAATTAACATTTCTTCTGACTGGTTTGGGCTTTTGTTTATTTGGCTGGGGGATGTTTATCTTTCCAGAGCTCTTCAGCACAGCCAGTTGTAGAACTGATAACATTGCAAGAAATTTTAGAGGTAAGATGTTTTTACTTTGTAGAGATATGAGGAACTTTTAAATATTCAGATGTAATGATGGTGATGATGATAAAGTGTTTGTTACGAATATAAATAACAGTATGTGCTATTTAGTTAAGACAGTTAATCTAAAATTATTAAGAATGTTGTGTCTACAAGAAGGGTGTAGGGAGACCTCATTGCAGCCTTCTGGTTCTAAAAGGGGGCTTATAAAAAGAGAACAACTTTTTGCGTGGGGAATAGTTTTAAACTACAAGAATAGATATTTAGATTAGCTGTCATGAATAAATTCTTTACTGTGAGGGTGGTGAGGCACTGGAACAGGCTGTCCAAAGAAGCTGTGGATGCTCCACCCCTGGCAGTGTTCAAAGCTGGGTTGGATGGGGCTTTGAGCAATCTGATCTAGTGGAAGGTGCACCTGCCCATGGCGGATGCTTGGAATGAGATGATCTTTAAAGTACGTTCCAACCCAGACCATCCTATGAATCTGGGTCAGTTTTCTGTTTTAATTCCTATCAAAGTAAACCCCACATTTTTACAAGAGTTGTGCCAATAATTTTCAGTTTATGCTGGAGAATGGCTCTCTCTTATTTCTTGATTTTACAATGTTTGGTTTAAAGAAGTTTTATGTGCCTTAGTGACTCATGTTGGGTGAGACAAATACTATGTTTAACAAAAAAACCTGGTCCATTTCATGCTCTATTTTATACTGTTTCAAGAAAAATATTTCTGAAATATACATTAACAGAAGGACTAAATATGTAGCCTCAGAAGGACCACTAGTCATGTGCATTAACTGGATTATTAACTCATAGAAGGAAATCAGTTCATCTGATTCATACATTTCTGATTGATTTTATAAGTATAGAAGCATTGCTTAGTGTGAATTTTTAATTACAGTGTAATTTATGAATGTGAATTGCAATGCATAATTTTTCTTCTCGTCTTAAATGTAGCATTTGAAGTGAAGTTTTCTGTTCCCCCTCCTTAGACAGTTCTAGATTTCTATACATAAGATGTCCCTGGGAAAATTTTTTTTTCTTGAGGCAAAATGTGATGTATAAAAACTTTCTGGTATTAAGATGCTATTATCTAATCACTATGTACTATAGTTTAAAGCCCAGACTTTGGGCTTATATCATCAAAACCATTTTACATGCTTCAAATATCTTAGCATACCTGTAATGCCAAATTAGGCAGAGCTTGCAAACAGATCAGAATTCAGAGTGGCCACAGTCCTTATGAAAAAAGAATTTTGAAGTTCTTCTAATGCTTTAAAATTGCCCTTCGTATTTTTGTGATATTGTTAATTTCCTGAAAATGTGAACATATATAATGTCTTCTGTTTGGAAGAACAGATTATTTGAAAAATTCAGACTCATTTTGAATTTCAACATCCTGACCTAAAGTGTCAGCGTCCCTTATCTTTGTATTCTGGAAGGTTTTTCTTTGTTGAGTTGTGTAGTTCTAGCTTCAAGTTGCTGTTAAATTTGAAAAATGTTTTCTGAGATACAGATGAAGTTACAGCCATAAAAGCTATTTTGGAGTATCAAATGTCAGAAAAGACTAAGTAGAAATTTGTTTAGAATAATGCATTTGGAGTAAATTCTCATAATTGGAAGTACAAAAGATATTAACTGGAGCGATTCTTCTTCAGAATGTTCTGAAAAAGAAGAGCAGTTGTTCATTTTGGTCTTTTATTAGTAGCACTGGATGCAAAAATATAAAATCTGGTAGCAAGTATTTTGAATTTGTCTTTAGCACTAAAGGGCAAAAAATATTTTGTACTTACTGAAATAACATTTAAAAGTTCTGAGTAGAAAGATGAAATATCTAGGATAAATAGAAAGAGCACCATGGGATGGGTTAGATTATTTAATCTGTAATGTGTGCAGTACTCCCCATGAGCAAATATCATGAGGGCATGAATATGATCTCCATGAACTGAAAAAAGAATGACAAAACTGATTTTGTTTTTAACTCCATGAACTAATTCTGTATTTAGATACGGCATTTAATCTACATTTATTCTGGAATAAAAGAGGATTCTGGTTCTAATTTTTACATCAAAAAAGATGTTATGTAGCTAATTGGAAGTCCTTTGCTTTACTTCTACTTTGAACAGGTCTCATATTTCTTCTGTAGTCCTTTATAGCTTATATTGCCTACATCACAGTAATTTGTAAAAATTTGATTAAATGAGATAAAATCTAGCTGTTTTGTTAATTTCCTAAATCTTACCCTTTTGGTCTTCCAGATGCTGATAAACACATTAATGGCCACACCACATGAACCTTACGTAACAATCAACGAGTCATTTTGGCCACCTTATGTTGAGCTGCTGCTGCGATATGGAATGGCCCTGAGACATCCAGAAGATCCAAAAAGAATGCGCCTCCAAGCTTTTCACAAGTAGTGTGACCTACACATGCACTTGAAAATAAAACAACACCAGTACTCTTAATTCAGGGCTAGGACATACTTAGGTTTCCTACTAAACTTTCTTAGTATCAAACATCACTTCTTGTTGGATGATTTTTTTTTTCTTCTATATTAAATTGAATATTTAGGAACAGAAAATGAGGAAAAAGAAAAAAAAAAATCTATTTTTACTGCTTACAGTTGGCCTTCAGTGTTGTATGAAGGTTTGCATTATGGAAAGTTTTTTTCACTGCTTCTGTAAGATGCCAATTCATGTAATAGACAAATATGTTTAACAGTCGTTTTTACTTTAAAAACCATATTTATCCATTACTTCTATGGTTTAGATTTCTTAGATTGCCTGAAGTCGTCTCTATTTCTTTTAGTATTTTCTTGTATTCTTTAGAGGCAAAATGCAGAATAACACCACTCCTGTACATGGCCTTGCAAACATTTGGAACTAACAGAGATGTATCCTCTCAAGAATGTGTTATGCCTTGTTTGTTTCTCAGAGCCTTTGCAAACAATTTTACTGGCTCCAAGATAAACACTTAGGAAAGCTGACACATCTTAAAGTGCAAAGTGCAGCAGATGTGAGTGTGTGCCTTTCACTGCATGCTTCCCAAATGGCCCACTTTGTGTTATGCTGTATTGCCTTACAGTATCTGTCTTCACTTTTTCAGACCTAATTTATTAAGGCTTTTAACGGGTCTCTGTTCTGTTGATCTCTACAGCTTCTAAGTTATGTCAGTTGAGAGTTACCTTCTGACTCAGTACTGGCATTCTTTGCAATCTCAGTCTTTTCTGTAGCCATTTTTATTATATTGTATTGATTACAAAAATTCTACTCTTGCTTATCAGTAGTGACTAAATTATCCTTTATTAACCAGATTGTAGTTTATTGAGGGAGGAACTTGGGTGATTTTTTTAATTGATGGAAAAATAAAGAGTTGTATACTATCATAATGTTTTTGTGTGATAGTTTTTAGGGTGGTGTTTATGTGATTTGGTGTGATGACTTGTAAAGATGATGGAAGGATGCATGGGAGAGGTAAGGGGGATCAATCTAATGTAAGTTCCAGTATAATTGCCCTTTTTAGACCAATTAAATATTAAGCAAAAAAATCATTCATCTTGTGTAGTTTTGAGTGAATGCTGTTCATTTTACTCTCACAACTGGTGATTAAGTATGAGTATAAATGTGGTGTGTGCTGTTGTGCATGAACATTGACTTCTTTTTGGTTCATATTGCTTGTGTAACTACCCTCCTGTTGTGTTTTAACCTCTCTAACGAGCTCTAGAGTCTGACTAGTCTATACACCTTCACCTTACAGTATTTTTAATTGAGAATTAAAATAACTACATTTTTTGGCTTATATTTGTATCATTGTCTCTTTAGGGTTTTTTCCTTCATTTGTGTATAATGCTTTGTATTCTGCTATCCTTTCACCTTATTTATTAACACTGCTCAAATACTTCATTGACGCTGGATAACTGCTTCTGTTGTGATACTAATAAGTAGAAGAAAAAATGTTAAACACTCAGTAGCCTCTTGTGTTTAAAAAGAAGAAAAATACCAACCCATACCACCCACCTCCCAAATCCAAATCCAAACCAAAGCACTGAGGAGATAGGACAGTCTGTAAAACAAGAGCTCTAAACAAGGTGCAATATTCATTATTATTCATACCAAAATCAAATCTCATCCAAGTAAATACCAGAATAGATTTAAATGAAAGTACTTCACATAAAGCTTTGCATTAAATTATGAAACTCACTGCCATAAAATATGTTGTAAGATTACATATGAACTTGAAAAAAAACCTAGGGAATTCAGATTTGTGATTATGTAAGAAAATTGGCAGTCAGCAGGTTCGGAAATCTCTATCCTACTAATTGTTGGACCCTGAGGAGATACACATAGATATTCACTGAGATCCTTCTGCAGCTCCACAGTATCTTTGGCATTCTCTGAAACCTTTCTGCTTAGGCCCCGGATATGCTCAGAACTCAGAGGTTCAATGTAGATCTCTTACCTCAGGAGGGATTGAATCAGTACAGCAGAAGAAAAGCTGTAGAAAGAGATAATCCATTTTCTCTCATGACCTAAAATGCATTGCCAGTTTTTAAGAGAAGCTGGTTTAGACTGAAACAGAGCAAGCTGAAAGCTGTAGCTCCTAGAAAAATCCTGACAAGTAAATTGAAGCAAATCAAGGCAGTGATGAGGAACAGATCTTCCTCATGAAAAAAAGCTAGGGTAAGCTCTTTCATCAGTACTTTCAACAATCAGGAACATTGGGGCATATGTTGAAAGAGTAGGACAATTTCTCCATTTTTTGTCTCCATGCATGTCTAAGTAACAGTTGTTTGTTTAGAATTAACACCTCTATTAAATGCTAATATTGTGACTCCATGTGCATTCCATGAAAAAAGGATTTGTTTAGCTTACCATCAGTTCTTAACTCTACAAAGGTAATGTAAAAAAAAAGCCAGGATGGTAAGTGAACACTTGGAGCTACCAAGGCTGAGTAAGATGGCAAACTGATCTATGAACTGGCGGTGTGTACTTGTGGCCAAGAAGGGCATCCCGGGTACAAATAGGAAGATAAATGCCAGTCTGCCTGTGCCTTGCTTCTTTCTCTTTAGTTGACCAGCTGTTTCCTACTCAGCCATGCCACAGCTTCTTTCTCTTTAGTTGACCAGCTGTTCCCTACTCAGCCATGCCATAGTCTAGAGAGAATCAGGTAAACCTAAATCTGTGTGTTATAACCCATGCAGGTCAAGACAGATGTCATGATAACAACTTGCAAAAGGACAGATGTCTTTGATTTCAGTCATTGCTCAATATGGAAGTATTGTACTTGACTGGGTCTATTTGATTAGGCCGATATCTCTGGAATACTGGCACTGCTTAAAACCTCTCATAGCTCTGCTATCGCACAAGATAAGCAGGCAGCTTTTCCATCTAACGTGGCCTGCCGTGATCTCCATCTCCATATAACATGCCATATTCTCCCAGTAGAGAGCTGGTGGTTTTCGTATGGTTAAGAATAAGATGTCAGTCACACTGTGTCACCAGCCAGGGCATAATTCACGGACCATCAGTCACCTGGTGAATCAGAGGCCAAAGCTTGGGGACTGGTGCTTTCCTCTTGACTGTTTCAGTAGGAAATCCCACACCATGGGAGCATTACTTGCGATTCACATTTGGTGTGTCTAGACATCAGGCAGGCATTTACATGAAGAGGAAAAAAATTACTCATTATACAGTAATGATTCTTCTGGAACGTGCATGCTGTGCAGAGCCCCCAACTCTTCTTGCTTTTTGGAAAACATCAGTACAGCAAACTTCTTATTGTGAGGAAATTGATCTAGCAACAGGAAGACCTTCTTGCATGTAATATTATGAGGTTAAGGAAGAGCAGACCATACCTGCCTTCACAAACTCTGCAAAGGACTGTTGGGACAAACTTACTGATGTGATTTTCTAGTGAAATAACTAAATTGCTCTGCAGATTTTCAACTTTTGATTGTGGCATTAAATGCAACTACTGTATTTATCTGCATTTTGCTGCATTGAAAAAAAATCTGATTTTGAGAGTTTGGCATAAAAGTTTCTGGATGAAATATAAAGTTTTGGCAGAAATATACATGAGATTTGTTTGTGGTTTGAGAGAGTGCAGGTGATACTAATGAAGACTGCTGTAGCTGGTTACAGACACATAACATAACCTTGAAAAGGTAAGCCTATATTGAATTCTTGAATATTCGTTAGTATTTTGGTAAAATGATGCTATATTTTCTGTATCTTAGATTGTATTTGAAGCTTTTTTTTTAAAAAGAAAAGTCCAATAAAAGCATGTGATAGCAGTCTTGTAGCTGTTTAAGTCTTGAAGTCATCTTTCATAGTTACATATTCACAAAAGATAGCCAGTCCATGTGTTTTCTGAGAGAAAGTTACTGGTATCAGTGTTTTGGTTTAGTTTACTGGATTTACTCTGAGATGAGTTTTTGTAGCTTTTGGTTAGTTGGTTGGTTTGTTTGGTTTTTTGTTGTTTGTTTGGTTTGGTGTGTGGTTTTTGGCGGGGAGGGTTATGGGGTTTTTCTATTTGTGCTTGTTTTGGTTTTGTTTTATTTGCTGTTTTGGGGGAGTAGGGTTTTTGTTTGTTTTTTCTGGGGGGTTTTGGTTTTTGGGGATTTTTGTTTGTTTTTTTGTTTGTTTTTTGAGTTTATTTCGGGGGGATTCTTTTGTTCTTGTTGCGTTTTTACTTTATTTGCTTATTTATTTATTTTGCTTCAAACTGTTTTAGCACAAAATAGTTTGATCACAGTACTTCCACTTATTTCTAAGCATGACGTTCTAGTGATTAAGACAATGAGACTCTTTATTTTGTGCATATTATCAGGTAATACACCATGCTTTAGTAGATTGTTTCCAGGTTAAACAATGAGCATTCCAGGGTACCTCAGCAGTGCCAAACTACTCGTAATTATAATCAGTCATGGTTACAAGAAGTTCTTTGTTGTGCAAACGTTTCAAATTCTGTACTTCAGAAAATTTATTGTGTCAAATGAAACATAATATTGCCTTCTCTATTTGGCAACAGATGCTGCTTGCAGGTGCTTGCAAATGAGCTTTTGATTATAGCTAGCCAAGACAAATGTAATTTTGGTGGTATTCCTATTCTAGTTTTAATTTAGGTTTCATTAAATTAGTTGCTGGAGATAATTTCAAGCAGAAAAACTTAAAATACAAACTAAACTAGATTAGTGTTGCAGTTTACTTGATAAATAACTAGTCCATTCATTTCCTTGGCAATTGTTTGGTCAAGTTTCCTTAAGATTATAACATGGTTGTGTTTTATTTCCTTTAATAGAACACTGGGCCATTTTGCTTGGTGATGAGGCAAGCAATTATTCTTGGTGACATGATCTAGACACATCTTTACTAAAACACTAACTTATCCACAAATTACAAATTACAGTGCTCAAAGCTGATAACTGTCATAAAAGTTAATATTTGTGCTACTTCTATTGGTTTTATTTAACAGATTGATTAATTTTATTACTATTTACACTGACTATAAAACTCTTACTGTTATCAATCTACATTAAATTTTGCAAAAGAACAAGCTTACAACGCTACTGTGTATGTGTAACCAATTGCAGTGGTGTGTAAGTTTTTATTTGAATGGGCAGCATGCTTCTATTTCAGTATAATTTCTTTCTTTTTATGTGTCTATTGCCGTCTTAAAACGTTTTGTTAAATAAACAAACTTAAAACTCATTGCAATGAAAGTTTTGTTAGATTTGGGAATATGTTACTTATAGTCCTTCTATAAAAGTGAACTGCAACACTAGAAAACAAGGTGATTGTTTTGTTGTATTTAAAAGAAGAATCCAAAGACTGTGGTTAATGTGAATGAAGCTGCTTAACAGAAAGGGAGCAAATGTGTGTTTCATAACAGAGAGGTGCAACTCTTCAGCTGAGCTGAATTTAAAGTTAGTTAGTCTATTCAGAATAGTTCTCCTACCTGTTTTGCAAATTAAAAATTCACCTCGACTTTATCAGGTAGTTGCCAGATGGCTCTAAATGCAGGAGAAGCCCTGATTGCAAACAGGAGCTTAGTTTTAATGCTCTCTGCTTATGAAAGCTAAGGCTACACAGTCAGTACGTTCTTTGACTGAGTGCAAGTTTGACAAAAGTTCTGTAACTGGATCAAAGTTCCTTGAATATGACAGGATTCTGGCAACATTGCATGTAATCTATTATTTGGGAAGACAAAATATTGAAGAACTGGTGAGAGTATAAAAATAATACCATAATTGCATATGTGAGGGTCCCAGCAGAATTCTGGTAAGAACAACACAAATTTGAATGTAAATTTCCCTTTATGGCTAGAACTGATGTGGGCAGTAACAACAAAGCTGAATTTAAAAAACATTTTCAAGTCTTTGGACTGCTAATTTAAGAGATGATTAACTAAGAAAGCAAGCTTTCATGTATGGGTTACAGTTCAAGAACACTGAAGCTGAGAATAACAACTGTGTCTTGACTGTTAGTCAAACAGTGTCTGCTCTACATCAAGAAG